TATAGATGTTAAAATATCACAGTTGTACTCGGTTCTCATCCAATATGCCCCTCCATAAATGAATGTTATAATCAACAGAAACCATCCTGTGATGAGACATATTGTTTTTTTGTACAGCTTGTGATAATCTGTCGTTGTTCCGATATTCAGCAATGTATTATCGACAATATCGATTTTCCTCAAACAATTTCTAAATTTCTGTTATAAAGAGACAATGTGGAGGACAAATAACTAATGTTTATAATTATTGATAATTTTATGCATAGCGGATCTTATATAATTAATATTATAATTAATTTATAATTTATAATTAATAATATGTAATATATAATAAATAATATATAATAATATATAATAATATATATTATGTAATAATATATAATAATATATAATAATATATAATAATATATAATAATATATAATAAAATATATATAATTAATAATATAATTTATAATTTATAATATTATAATTAAATTATAATTAATATTATAGCTTATTTAATGTAGCTGAAACAACTATAACTTTTAAAAAAGAATTAAAAAATGTATATATTTGTTTTATATATTTTCTTATATTTTATGCAATATTTCATACAATTAATTATTAAATTAATAAATTATTACTAAATATATCACATAAAAAATTTTTACATTAATAATTTGTTATATTAAGTATATTACGTGTAAAATATTGCATGTCTCTTCATCATAATTTGTTTTGCTAAACTGATAAATACTACTTCTGTATCTACTTTAGATATCAAAAATAGTATAAAAAATCAAAATTACACATTATTAATATAAATTTAATTAATTAACAAATTAACAATACTTCAAAATCATACATACCTTATCATAATATATTCCGGACACTATTGATAATAATGTTAATAATATATCTAATCCAACGCTAATCCAATCCAATATATAATATATATTATAGTCAGCATTGAAATATTCATGATTAAAATAAGATATTATTATGGACTTTAATGAAAAAAAATAAATTAACCATAATAGCAGCATATAGACGAAACTAAATATTCTTGGACAACCTACAGGAAATTCGATAATACTTAAACCGGAGACATAATTGATTATAAAGAGCGGTGTTAGAACTGTTCGAATGCTTTTAGTCATCATGTGCACTGTTCGATTTCGAACTGCATTTCATTTGCGGATTGGTTGTGCTAGCTTTATCTTATGATTATAATTTCAATTAGAGCACTTATAGTTATTGAAATATAATCGATCTGTTTTATGTGCGATATATTTAACAATACAGATAATAATGTGTCTTCTTTTTAGATAGAATATGTAAAAACATAATTATATTCATTAGATATTCATAACAAAAAATATTGTTCTTAATATACTTTTTTCTTTTTATACAATACTATGATATATATTAAAAAATATTACCAAATATAAATGATGGTGTCTATTTTAATCAATATGTATTTTAATCAATAACCAATTTGTTTTTAACGTGTAATAATGTTTTAAACACATATACATATAATCATAAATCGGTGCTTTTCTTTTTGTTGATATTATATGATTGTTCTAAATATGGACTTTATACATTAAAAAAAATAAAAAATAAATTAAAATTAATAAATTAAAAATTAAATTAATAAATTTAAAAAATAAAAAATAAATTAAAATTAATTTTATGCAAAGAATAATTCTTATGACAACGAATAAGGTAGAGATATATCTGATATAAATATAAAGTAAAAAGTTGTGATTTTTATTTGCAATATTTCTTAAAGAAATGGCAAATATTTCAATTAAGTACAATATATAATAAATATCATCTATTTAAACAAATTTATATTGCATATCAATTATTATCAATGTCCAGTTAGGTTTTTATGTATTATATTACTTACATTTTATTTAACATATTTAACATTTTTATCAATCTGTGTTAATATAACTACGACAATCGTAACAGACGTGATAAACTGTATAGGAAAGAAAATAGTATTTTTTTATAATTATGAATTTAACTATTTGTAATTATATGTTACGTCCAGACCCTGAAAGGATGGGCCGTATGGAAAAATATAACTTACTTATCCCGTGACACACTTTATTCGGGCGTGTGTATGGATCGGATCGAACGAATGTGAAGGGCCTGACATAGACCGAAGGTTCTCTTCTCGAAGGGTCTCTTTAACTCAGCGTTTTTAAGCCTATTTGTTTGGTGGTCCCTTTTCGGTAAAGGAATTTAATCTTTATTACGCGGGATGGGACTTAGTGCGATCTCAGGATTTAGGGAAGAGAACGTGTTAAATAATTAAATTATACATTAAATTAAAAATACATATATTATAAAAAAAATAAAAAAAGAAAAATACATCTTAGCGTCTTGTAACTATGCGTGAGTATCTGTGTGTGTATGTATATATTCTTGCGGGTGTTACACGTTCGGAAGTCATCAGTCAGAATATACAGGAAAGAATTTACGTTATAGTAAGAATTCTGACTGGTTAATACAATATACATATAATTAATGTAATATAAGAAATAAAACAAAATACATAAAAAGTGAATGTGTAATAAAAATATGAATAACGTTTATTCATTAAAGGAAGTATAGAATTCGTCGCTTGCAGATATAGTATGTGTTAGAATAAAAATTTTCTAAATTCACTGAAACACAGGTCTAAATTAAAATACAATAATAAAATTAAGATAAGAGATTCGTCAAGTCTAAGTTCAAAAATTATTCATCTATTTCAACGGTTTTTCCCAAAAGTAGATAATACAAAAGAAAATAAGGCTATTCTTCGGAAAATGATCATGCTCCGATTTGAATCAAATTTTGTTTTAAAAATGCCTGAGATAGAGCGATTTCGAGAGTAAGTTATATCAATAAATACGGAGATGGAACTTCTTATAATAATTTCACGTCTCACAATTCAGGAATTTATTTAACGTTTCGTTAACGCTATCTCGACTGGCCATTCTCAGTATTAGATTTGTTAGATTTAAGTGATTATATACGCGGGTTAGGTTACATTTTTCTAGGCGTTATCATTATTCTGAAGAAGGATCGCTTTGTGTTTCAAATGCAAGCCAATTCTTGATTTTTCTTTCACAATATCGTTTCGAAGAAAGAAAAGAATCGTGGAGTCCATCCGAAGTAACATATATATTACATAATAATATTATATAATGATTATTAATAGTGTTGACTATATATTGACATTTATTGAAATTTCTCATTTTTATTTCTTAATACAAGAATTTGCATTATATGTAACTATTACGTGTACTTAACAATATTATTAAATAGAGACATCTTAATAATATTAATTGAAAAATTAATAGGTTAATGAATATAGAATATGTGTATAAGATACTTTTTTTCATAGTATGAGAAAAGTTCTACATCTTGATAAAATATGAAAAATTTTAAGATTTTTTAGAAAAATAATTTAAAAAAAAACTAGAAAAAGATATGTGTGTGTGTGTGTGTGTACATGTGTAATTTATCTTTTGTCACACAATATCTTTTTGTAACTTTAACACAATTTTTTCCAGTTCCACATAATATTCAGATTTCTTAAAAATATTTAGAAAAAATTGTTTTATATATTACATTCTAATTATTATTTTTGTCAACGCTTCTTGAAGTCACATACATTGTATTATTACAATCTATTGGTCATTATTTTCTTAAAATGTTTGTTTTTTCTTAAAATGTTTGTTTACTTATGCATGCCTGTATTAATAACTCTACTATGGTTGTAATTGATGAGGTGAACTAAAAAATATTAATTTCTCTTTTTATATAATTATTGTATAATTATTTAATTATATATTTAATTATTCATGATAAATAATTACGCTCATAATAAACATTTTACAACATACTCCATAAAGAAATTTGTAGCTGTTGGGCTATATTGCGCTACTTCATCCGATGAGCGTGAATCATACATGACTGCATCGACTGCATCATCCGGATCGGAATGCTCGGAACAATAGAATCACGACGTGGCACGATGATGCACATGACATGACCTTGCATACAGCACCACAGTAAGAAGAAGCTTTAAAAGGCCGACCGAGAGACGGATCGTCGGAGAAGCATAGGTGTGGCCGACGTGTACGGAGCACAATGTCGTGCTCGAATCTTCTACTTCGGACTGTTCATGGAATCAAGACATAATATCAAGACACAACGACATTAAACATTATTCGTGAACTACGAACAAACACAACAATTTACACTCCGGAAACACAACAATTGGCGCTGCGGCTTATTGAACCTGCAAGAAAATGGACCGACTATTTCAAGCGCTAGCAGAAGCTGCGCTAAGCCAGGAGCACACATTACGTCAGATCGGTGAGTCACAAAAGCAAATCGGTGAATCACAAAAGCAAATGGCAGAGATACTATCACATCGAATATCGGGAACGGACGATACTGCAAAGTCGTCGCAATTCACAAATCTGGCTACACGGCTTGGTAAATTCGTTCATGATCCTACAAAGGGTAAAACCTTCATGTTATGGTTTGAACGACATAGAAGCACTTTCGCGGAAGGTTTAACCGATACGGAGTGCAAAGAGCTACTTCTTAATGCTCTCGGAGACGACGAGTATCAACAATTACTTAGTCGTTTATCGCCAAAGAAACCGCAGGAAATGTCTCTTGGCGATCTCGAGCGACATCTTCGAAAACAGTTCCATGATAATAAAACGTTATTTCAACGTCGTTTTGAAGCTCTCAATTTTCGTGCTTCCCCGTCAGCAAGCTATAGAAGTACTTGACAAAGTAAATGTTCTGGGAGATGCCTTTGAGCTCGATAATTTCAATATCGACCAGCTCAAAATTCTACTAACAGCTCTCGCCCTAAGCGACTACACCTACTACACGGAGCGAACAGTCCTCTTCAAGGTTGCATCACAAAAAGAAAACTGCACATTTCAAGACATTTAGAGAAATCTGCTACGCACATGCGAATCGCATGGCTGACATCATGCGTGTTGAAGGACAGCGCTTCTCCGAAATCAACGCGGTCAGCCAATCTACGAAGAATTCACCTAAAAAGAAAGGTAAATATTACGAAAAGAAAACAAATCCCACTACACTGCATTACGAGAAAAAAAGAAATTCTACTACATTATCGCCATGCTATAGCTGCGGTTCCACGAAACACAAACGGGATGCATGTCCGTTTAAGAATACAGCATGTAGAATCTGCAAGAAAACGAGACACATTGCTAGAGTTTGCTTATCAAAGTAACGAAATAAAATAAATACTGTCACATTACAAGGTGTTCTAGGCACAGGACATCGATATCGCAAATTCGCACATATTACTATCAATAACAAGCCATTGAAAATGCAGCTGGATACAGGAGCGGACGTAACTACGATCGGGAGAGAAACTTGGACACGAATCGGTCGTACAAAACTCCAACCTCTTACTACTTCATGTGTGAATGTTTCAGGACATCCAATGCATACCATAGGATTTTTTAACGCCTCACTTGGCTACAAAGACTGTATGATAAAAGCACAAGTCATCGTACTTGATCGTCCAGAAACTGCACTACTCAGCTCTCAAGCAATAGATGAGCTTGGCTTAATTACCTACGATACAGGAGTCGTCGGAAATCTGCAAACGATGAATACGATTACGGTAAATTCATTTCATAAACAATTCACAGAACTTTTTAGTAGTTCCACAGGAGAATGCACCAAGATGACAGTTCATCTACGGCTTAAACCAGATGCGAAACCGAAACATATTCCACGACGTCCGATCGCACTTGCATTAGAAGAACCAGTCAATGAGGAACTGGATAGACTCGTTAAAAATGGAATTTTAACGCCAGTCGACTTTTCGGAATGGGCGGCGCTCATAGTAGTTGCACGCAAATCAAATGGGAAAATATTTATTTGTATATAATACGTATTTGTGCAGACTACTCTACAGGATTAAATGACGCACTTGACGCGGAGGATTATCCAATCCCAGAGATAGAGGAACTTATAGCAAAACTTCGAGGAAGTTCTATCTTCTCACAACTAGATTTATCTGATGCTTATTTCCATCTAAGACTGGATGAGGAAAGTAAGAAGCTAACTACAATAAATATTCATCGAGGTTTATTTGCTTACAATCGGTTGGTTTTTGGATTAAAACCAGCTCCTGCAATTTTCCAACGTACGCTGGAACAGGCACTTACAGGTATTCCAGGCGTACTCGTCTATCTTGATGATATTCTGATTTATGGTCAGGAACGCACAGAGCACGATACGCGTTTACACGCCGTGCTAAACCGCTTGCAAGAATGGGGTTTTTGACTCTAAAAGGAAAAATGTAAATTTCATACTTCAATAGTTAAATACCTTGGATTTATTGTTTCAGCTAAAGGTATTGAGCCTGACCCAGCACGTCTTCGACCTATTCAAACAATGCGAGCTTCGACGAATACAAAAGAGATACGTTCGTTTTTAGGTCTGATTAATTACTACGGGAAATTTGTACCAAATTTGCATCGACTCAAAGCACCATTCAAAGCTTTGATCAAGAAAGATGTACCTTTGTGTGGACAGCAAAAATGAAGAAAACGTTTGAGGATATTAAAAATATTCTTACTGGACCACTTCTACTAGCGCATTACGATCCCAGACAAACTCTGATCGTTGCAGTAGACGCTAGTTCGATCGGAATTGGTGGCGTTTTGTTACAGCGCGCCCCAGACGGCCAGGTAAAAGCAGTCTTTCACATGTCAAAAGCATTGACAAAGACTCAACAGAATTACAGTCAAATCGAAAAAAAAGCTTTAGCATTAGTCACTGCTGTTGAACGTTTTCGAAAATTCGTATATGGTCGTCACTTCGTGCTACAAACGGACCATCGTCCACTTCTAGTCCTGTTTAAAACGTCGAATACAAAAGGTCTAGATACATGCACAGCAAATCGTTTGAAACGATGGGCTCTTCGACTAATTGGGTACGACTTTGACATAGAATATGTCAACTCCGAAAAATTTGGTCAAGCGGACGCTCTTTCAAGGTTAATACAGGATGTAAAACAAGATGTAATAGACGCCGACCTCGAAGAAGTTGTAGCTGCGCTACAGGAAACAGATACAGAGCTACAACAGATTGTCAACAAATCAGTACAGTTCTTACCTTCAACGGCTCGACAAGAGCTCCAAAGTGCAACATTCAGCGATGGAATTCTCGCTGAGGTTATAGATCGTCTACAAAACGGATGGCTCAAATCGGACGTAACTGACAAGGAGTTAATGTCATATTATCGTCGTCGCGATTACTTAGCCATAGTTGATAATACATTAGTTTTAGATGAGAAACTAATAATTCCTAAACGTCTACAATCTACTGTACTGAAGCAACTACACGTTGCACATCCAGGTATCCGCCGGATGATACAGCTTGCTCGACGTTATTTCTATTGGCCAGCGATGCATGATGATATCGAGAAATACGTAAAAGAATGTAATCATTGCAATCGCACAGCAACTCAGTAAAAGAACCATTACATCCATGGCCAAATCCAGAGAAATTATGGTTACGCCTTCACATTGATTTCGCAGGCCCGATACATGGACAATGGGTACTCGTCATTGTCGACAGCTACTCCAAATTCGTAGAAGCAGGATGGTTCTCAACAATAACGGCAGCAACATGTCGATATCTGCGAAGACTCTTTAGTCAATATGGATCACCTGAAGTACTAGTTTCAGATAACGGTACTCAATTCACTTCAGTAGAATTCGCGCAACTCTGCGTCGAATTTCGAATTCTTCACCTGCGTACCCCTCCTGGGCATCCACAATTAAATGGTCAAGCCGAGAGAATGATCAGAACATTGAAAAGTTCTATCGACACAAGTCAAAGTTCACAGTTAGAAACGGAATTAAACAAGTTTGTTTACGCATACAACTACACATCCAGTGACGCGGCACTAGATTATAAATCTCCGGCAGAATTCTTTGGACGTAAGCTTAGAACTCCATTAGATATTTTTACTGCAACCGAAAAATCTAATCTAAATCTTACTTCTCAGCAGAAACAAATGAAACAGCAATTCGACGCTCATCACGGCGCAAGGCCACGTTCATTTATAGGTTAATCGGTACTAAACTCAACGTACTTGAACAAACTTCAACTCTCCAATGGACAGCGCATTCCTGGTAAAATTGTTAGGCTGATAGGGAAATCACTCGCTCGCGTCAGCTTTGAAGGAGGATTCATTACTAGATATTTCAATCAAATATGGAATCGTCCAAAGAGACAGGAAAAGAAATCCAATACGATTAGCGAAGATCTACTACCCTCTGGGACAGAATCAGCACGGATTCAATCAGATCCAGTACTTCACACTTCGCTAGGAGAAAGAGAGGAGGCAGAACCTCTCAACAACGGGACCATACGACTTCCAGTAGCATCTGCTCGTCGTTCTGAAAATCCTTCCAGGGCCACACAACCTCCAGTAGCAGCGGCTCGTCGTTCTGAACATCTTTCGCATCAAATTCGACCAAATTACAAGGCAGTGGGAGGAACTCGCCCCTACCGAGGACAGCATTCTTAAGCAAGGGAGGAATGTTGGGTATATTGCGCTACTTCATCCGGTGAGCGTGAATCATACATGACTGCATCGACTGCATCACCCGGATCGGAATGCTCGGAACAATAGAATCACGACGTGACACGATGATGCACATGACACGACCTTGCATACGGCACCACAGGAAGAAAAAGCTTTAAAAGGCCGACCGAGAGACGGATCGTCGGAGAAGCATAGGTGTGGCCGACGTGTACGGAGCTCAACGTCGTGCTCGAATCTTCTACTACTTCAGACTGTTCATGGAATCAAGACATAATATCAAGACACAACGTTAAACATTATTCGTAAACTACGAACTAACACAACAATTTGCACTCCGAAACACAACAAATACACAACACTTATAATTAACATAATGCATAGTTAACATATTCATAGTGCAAGTTTATTGCAATATGAATATTTATCTTTTCTATTATAGAAATGTGCATGAATTTAGGTTTTAAAGTGTGCCATGACCAACGATAATGCAAATACGATCAAATGATCACGTAATAAAAATGAAAAGACAATTGGGTAAATCTATTGGATAGATATACAAACATATAGTATAATATAACAGATAGTTTCAGACATTTTAATGATACTTATGTGCTCAGAAATTAAACTTTTGACATGATGAAGGAAAAGTAAAAAAGAAACAGATATAAACTAAATAAAAACGAAAGAGAAAGAAAGTATGGACATTTTATTCTCTTATAGCATTTTATTATAAAAATCTTGATATATTCATCATCATTATCGTTGATTTCGTTTTCGATTAAACTAACTCTTTTTTTCAGTAATTTTTTCAGTTTGACATATAATAAAATATAATAAAATAGCTTATGTTAGGAATTTCTTGGTAATAATTTAATAATTAATAATTTTTTAAATAATTTCTCGTAAGTGACACATAAAGTGACCCTACAAATGACATATAAAACATTCAAATTTATGTGACAGTAAAAAGAAGTCAAGTGAAAAGGAAATAACTGTAAGTTTGTACAAAAAAGTTACAAAATTTCTAACGAATAGTTTTTAGATATGTTTTTTAATAGTTTTTAAATATGTATTTAATTTGAATCACATGTTAATGTTTATAATTTATGAATTTACGGGTATGCCTTCAAATATTATTATTTTATCGATAAGACATTACTAATTAAATATATTATTACAATTGTTACAAGTAAACAAATTAAATACGTTAATATTATACGTTAATATTATACGTATTATATTATTACGTTAATATTATATTATATTAACAGATGATACTGGAGATGATACTGCATTTGTTTGTACGCCTAATCATCGATGTCTTAAAGTGCACAATCATTTTATGAATGTCATTATCATATACTAATTATAAATTGAATGCACGTGTTATGTTTAGCAAACATACCAATTTTATACGAATAATTTATCATATTACAAACAAGAAGGAAAATGGGTGATTGAGATCCAAGCGCAGAAGACAGAGAGAGAAAATATTTTCGTAAAAACATCTTTGTTAATTCTTTTTTGAATTTATCTTCGGCAATTATTAACAAAAATTATTTGCAAAACTGCTTTTTGCTCTCATTTTCCTTCTTATATTATTTACTTGAGTTTTTTTATTTTTATAGCATTTTTATCTTCGCGATCTATCTCATGAATGTTCTCTCATTATATAGGATCAATGCGCGTGTCAGAAAGTACGATCTACGAAGCACACGTATGAATTCGAAATGCGAATCTTCCTTCTTTTTTGTTTTACAAACATCCGATTTGTTCCTTTTTAAGTGCGAAAAGTATTTTTTCTTTTTTAATTGTTAATTTCTAGAGAAATTTTTAAAAGTTTTTATTTTAGTCGATGATAATTAGCAATCAAAATATTAAAGAAATTAAAATATTAAAATATTAAAGAAATTCTTTCAGTGATTTATTATTGACATCTCGAGATTTAGATCATTAGATTTAAATCAATATTTGCTAATTTTTTACAATATAAATGCAAATAATTGTTATCATCTTTGGTTTTTTAAAGCTAGTGTTAAAATGTGCTTTTTCCGAAAATTTGTGCTCTCATTATTTATAAAAAAGTATTGTTATATAAAAGATAGATTGATATATGTGTAGTATATATTTGTGTAGTAGAGTATTATGTGATTCATATATTTACACCACGTTAGGAAACTCACTTTCCAGCAATGCTTTATCCAGAGAGTTTGTTCCGTTATACATAAGATGATGTTCATAAAAGGAAAAACCAATTTACTGAATCATTAAATCTGCTTGATTTGAAGCCGTTGGCAAACCTTCTTGTTTGATGTCAGAATGATTCCTGAAAGCTCAGGCGTTGTCACTAATTCATCTAGCTGAGAAACTTTCATCTCACTAACTTTCTAAATTAATTTTTTTTAAATTTCAGCCCATAAGAATCAAATTGCTTCTTTAATATACTAAATTGTGAATTATATATATATATATATATATATTATATATATATATATATATATATTTTTTTTTTTTTTTTTTTTTTAACACAATAATCAAAATAATAATTTTCAATAAAATTTGATACATAAAAGTATTTGTATTCAATAAATAATTTTTATGATGGAGAATACAAAGTTCCAGAAAAGTAAGCTAAGACGTAATAATAGTGAATCAAGATGACATTAATTTTCGTAGAACATACATAGAATAAAAATAAAAAACACAATATAGCCGATAATTAATTTTTGTAGAGAGAGAGAGAGAGAGAGAGAGAGAGAGAGAGAGAGAGAGAGAGAGAGAGAGAGATTGATTGATTGATTACACTTTATTTAGCCTTCTCGGCTACTATTATACAAATAACTATACAAATAACATTACAATTTTGGAACCATTTGTGTAACATAATCTTTTAACATTCTCTTGAAACTATTTAGTCTTTCACATTGCTTTACCTCTGCAGGTAAGTCATTGTACATTTTAGTGCCTTTATAAAAAGCACTCCTCTGCGCTTGACAAGTTTTACGCAATTGTACAACTATGTTACCCTTTTGTCTAGTTTCCCTCTGATAATTCTCTCCTACTAAATCTAGCCTATTTCTTAACATACGTGGTAGATTAACCTTTTAATATCTTAAATATAAATATGCATGTATTATAATATATCCTCTGTCTTATTGACATATATTGCAAGGCTTGCAGCATATGTTCCACCCTGGTATTTTCTTTTACATTGCAAAATCACTCGCATAGCTCTATTCTGTGCCACTTGCAATTTATTAATTTGCGTCTCGCCCATGCCCACAATCACTGTTGCACAATACTCAAAATGCGGTGCGATAATTGTCTTATATACTATTTGTCTACTATACGGTGTTAAATATTGACCCATTCTGTTCAAAAAGCTAGTTTTCTTACCTATCTTTTTCAACATATATCGCAATGTTCAACAAAAGTGAGCCTACTATCAATCATTATGCCTAAGTATTTTATTACTTCCACTCGTTTTAACACTTCACCATTCATGCATACTATTTTTATTTGCCCTTTAACTTCCTTTCTATTACTTCTAACTATCATATACTTTGTTTTCTCTACATTTAATTTTAGTTTATTTAGGCTCATCCAGTTTCTATTTTATGAAATACATCATTCATCTTTTTATTAATTTCCTCACTACATTCTCCTGTTACATAAATCATCGTATCATCCGCAAACAATTTTACATTACTTCCTATTGGACATACTTCAGTTATATCATTAATATACAACACAAAAAGTAACGGCCCTAATACCGATCCCTGCGGAACACCATGGTCTATTGCCATCACTTTGGAATAGTTACTATTAAATCTAACTTTCTGTGTTCTATTCTTTAGATATGACTCTAACCAATGCCACACCTTACCCCTTATCCCTATTTGGTACAATTTCTCTAATAATCTGTTTCTATCAACAGTCTCAAATGCTCTTTTTAAATCCATAGATATGACCCCTACTATTTTTCCTTCATCAATTTCTACTTTCCATTCATCTATTATTCCCTGTATTGCCGTTCACATGAATGTGATTTTCTAAATCCAGATTGATGTTCCGTCAACACTTCATTTGCCTCTAAATATCTTCCTATTTGATCTTTGACCACTAATTCTAATACCTTCTCATATATTGGCAAAACGTTAATTGGTCTATAATCACTAGCTTTTATAGGTTTTTTAATTTTTGGAATTGGAACTATCGTGGATGTCTTCCAGCTGTTCGGACATTCACCTATCATTAGCGACTTATTTATTACTTCTGTAAATTCATCTTTGATTGCACAAAAAAGCAATTTTCAACACATCCACACTTATTCTTCCTCTGTCCCTTTTTTAACCGGAAGATTCATCACGACCGTTTCCAATTCATTCGCATTAATAGGATTAAAATATTCTAATACTTCTATATTCTCACAAGTATGCATTGTTCTCCTAGTACTTCTTTGATCATCTACTTTTTTAATACTATTTATAATATTAACGATACTATTAATATAATACTCATTAAAATTGTCCTCTATATTTATTCCCTCATTTGTAATAACACCCTCGAAATCTAACCTATCAATAACTTTTACATCCAACACTTCTCCTTTCAATACTTCTTTCAATGTCTTCCACATTCTTTTCGAATCTGTCTTATTGGCATCAATCATATTTTCATAATATTGTTTCTTCTTATACTTTATAAGTTTAACAACTACATTTCTTTCAATCTTATATTGCTGCCAATCCTGTTTTAAACCCGTATAAACTGCTTTCCCGTATGCCCTATCTCTAGCAATTGATGCCCTTTCTATGTCATCCGTAAACCATATTTTCCCTTCCCATGCCTTTGGCATTTGAAATGTTCTTTCGGGTGCAACAACATCTAACGCCGCCACTATATTTTTAACAAAACTACTGGCCCTTTCATTTATGTCTAGTTCGCAATTATTAACCACGCTCCGTTGCAATTCACTAATA